AATACATGTTTTTATCGCCTTTACAGTGTTTATAAGACATATAATTGCCTTTGTTCGGAAGTACAGTATTGCTAGAAAAATAGAATGATGGGAATTATCTTTCTACCGACAGCACTGGTTTTCCAACAGGTGTTGCAAATCTGTCTCCCATAAGAACCCATGTGAAACTCAAACGTGTCCCTTCTGGTTATTCTGTCTCATCTCGAGCATAAACCTAACCAACTACATTTAGACCTCATACGTAATAATCTACCACAATATTATGTAACTTACAAGATACAATCAGTACATACAAAAATAAAACAATAATTACAAAAGGTTTGTGTGAGGCCAGTCAGCTATTTCTATCATGAAGCGATGTATATGTGTGTAACCTAACCTAACCAGTCGGCGGCCCTAGGTTAAAATAAAAATAAATGTATGATAACGCGTTTACTCTCAAGTTTCTATAACTGTAAAAACCAAAAATTATTAATTATATTTTTACAATGCATAATAAGTGAATAATTAGAAAACTTAGTATGGTCTTGGTGTAACTGTATGACTACTATATAACTACTAGATCTTGTAGTACTCGTTTTTACCGCCCATCAACCGCGATTGTAATCAAAATCTGCCGCTGTACAGGGAAGTAAGACTCATAACTCATTAATTTAAAATACTTAGGTTTCTTGAAAAACTTAGTTTCGTATTTTCAATAATACGGCGTACTAATTGAAATTATTATGATACAACAACTTTTAGTTGCCTACACAAAATCACTCATCTAATATTCAAATTTTAGCGAATGAGTAGAAAATTAGTTCACAACAATTTTAATAATTATGTTTACTCTAAATCCACTCAATAAACAACTGGAAATACGAACATTTTTTTGGTGCCTTTTAAAGACGTTACATATTTATTCAACAATGATTATATTAGTAAATTGTACTAAAATGTTAGATCTGAATATCAAAAGCTACAAAATCAATTTGAAAAAGATTAAAAATGTTTTTTTTATTTTTTTTAAGTTCAAAGTAGTTGAGTCCTGAAGTAAATTATTCTGAATATTGTTAGATGCTTTCATGAAATCAGAGTTGTGGGTTGGACAATTCTTCGCGGTTTAACCGGATATCCTTACAATTTTTCCACCATCTATACCAAGGTCGAATATTGTCTCTGATTATCATAAATACTGTAAATGTATAGCCGACAATTGTAACTGTAATGAATGCGACAGCCAAGCAAAGTCCAAATATATCCATTGAACTGTAAATTAATTTAATTCACCGATAGATGTTTTTTTCTTTTGTTATAATACTTAATGTAACAATCTGAATATAACAATCAATGTACCTTAGGGTGAGTGAACCTATGGTGAAATGTAAAATAAATCAAATCTAGCGCAACTAACATTTTCTTTTTGGTAACCAATGAGTTTTAACAAATTAAAAACTATGGTTCGACAAACAATAGTGAAATAATACATAAGTTGTAAGTTATTCATAAGGACAGTTTCGTGCCTATAATAAAATATGGTGGTGAGGCATTGTAAACTCTCCTGGTGTTAATGACATATAAACTCTACGGATGGTATACTCTCCCGGCACTATTCCAGTAGGTACTACCTAAAGGTACACAACTATCCCAAGTCCGTAATAACATCGGTTATAAATTATATCATTATATAATAATATATTGTATTTAAATTATATATACTATATTATCTTTTATCCTCTATATTTTATTTCAAATAAGTTTAGAAAAACTCACAACGGAAATTAAAAAAATGGTAACTAAAAGACGTTTTTAATTTAATACCCTTGTGCACTGGGGAAGGATATTAATCGGTACATAAATGCACGTGACATGGTATTCGAAGAAAATCATGCACCATCTCTAGTTGAATACATATTCACTGGATTAACTTGGGGAGGGTAACTGATAAGATATAAAAATGTATCTAAGTGAACATTTATTAAAAGTTATTTAACAGAAATAATTATAATAATTATAATAATTATTATTAATTATTATAATTATTATAATTTAACCTTTGAAGATTCAACCACAACATCAAGTTTGCAAATATAATTAAATTGAATTAAAATTAGTAATGGTGGATGTTAAAGAATATCGTCATAGACTAGACAAATTATATTATAAATTATGTATCCTCAGCACACTTAACAAAGCAGAGTCGAAAGCAAAAATAATACAAGAGACATTCAAAGAACAAACGTTGACAAATTTTATAAAATAATTAATAATAGCTGTATGAAAGACAATAATAAAAGTGTAAAATCCAAAAACCCCTTAACACGTTGACGGACAGTCACTGCTATAGCATTCATACTAATATAAGTCTTAAAATAGCATAACCACTATAGCAGTCATGTTAGTAATAAGTTTATCGTTTGAGGACAAATGTAATGTCCGTTTAAGGCTTATAGTCTGGTGAGGCAAAATGAAACAGATGAAGTATAAAAATAGATTTTCCATTTTACCATTTGAATTGTCTATTATTTTTCACCTATCATTTTATAGATATAACAAATGTACTTATATAGTTAAACTAGCTGATCCCGTGCACTTAGTTGCCCGTTGAAATTGCCAAATCTATATATGAGACTCACTTGCTATAATGCGAGCAGTATATTATCAGGTAGGATATTATATTGTATTATATTATTATTATCGTACCTGTCTGGTGTACTCATATACTATGTATGAATAGTATTTTTTATTTTTATTTTAATTTTTATTTAGACTGTGGATACGCCGATGAACAACTACAAATGCAACTCAGCCATCTTAGTAGGCAATGTGTGAAAATTTGATTAGTTATTTTTTTATTTTTTACTAATAACTAATATAACACATTCGCTTGGATATTGAAATTGTTTGGAAAGTGTTCCAGTTGAAGTAAATGAGCTGTCAAAATACCTCCCCTTATTAATATGATCGGAAATAATTTCAATCATCCTACTCCCCGTCAAAAATGTTGCACTTGACGAATCTATAATGCTCTAGAGAGGCCGTTTAATATCTATATATATAAAATAGTAAGCTCACTGACTGTGAAATCAACGCACAGCTCAAACCATTGGACGGACCGGGCTGAAATTTGGCATACACATAGCTATTATGATGAAGGCGTGCGCTAAGAAAGGATTTTTGGAAATTCAACACCTAAGAGGTTTAAAAAGGGTAAAAGTGGTAAAAATTGAAAACGTTTTTTGTTCTGATTTTTTTGGAAATATAGTATACATAGTTTATTCCACAAATAAACATTGTCTATAAACTTTATTTGTGTGAAATTAAACTCCTAAAGGGGGTTAATAGGGTTGAAAAGTGTAAAAATAGAAAAAGCCGCCTAGCCAAAACCATTGTAATTCATTAAGGAAAAAATTTAATTAATTAAAAATTATAAAATTAAAATTAATGAAGTAAATCAAGGATGCTCCCTGAAGTCCGATTTTAATGGATGTATTCGTCGTTATCTGGACTATGTTTATTAGGAAACACTATCAACAACTATATTTTGTCTACAATTCCAGGACATAGAAAAGGTGTCAGACCACAAAAAGTATGTATAATTCAATTTCACTTAAAATTAAGAATGTTATTATTTATTAAAATGTTATACAGTACAACCTCATTAATCCGGAATATATAGGGCTCTAGGTTGTCCAAATTATTGAAAGTCCGGATTAAACAAAATAACCAAAAATCGTAAATTAGAAATTAAAAAAAAAATGTATTGGATATTAATTTATTATACAAGTTTCTAACTGAATATAAATACATATGTATATCTTACAATTTTAACCTAAAAATACATGAAACATAATTGTATTAAAATCATTACACACTTAATATAGTACATATTAAGGCTCACATTCATTACTCACACTTGTCACGCTTACTGGTTTAAAAAACTGCTAATCTTTAGTTGTCTTTCTTTCACATGGATTTCTTTAATGATTAACTCACGAAGATGCCTTAAATGTTAATAATACTCAGATATGTTTTCATTGTTGTTATCTTCAACGTATTTAATGGCAATGTTTAGATGATCTTTTTTTGGCTTAGGGTTAACATTATCGTCTACTTCATCCTGATCATATTCATCCGTTTCAGAGCTTTCTGCAGCGGTCACACTTTCAACAATCTCCTCCTCTGTTAAAATATGATAACCTAATAAACTTAGATCACATTCATCTACTTCTAGCCACAATTCAATGTCTTCCAGTGTAGCTGAATTCTCACCTCCTTGGTGGAAAATGTTGTGAAAATCGTCTGTTTTTAATTCAGCCGTATCTGGTTCAATGTCTTTATTTATTAAAAGTTTTTTCCACGAGTTAATCAAAGTTGAATGTTGTATATCTTTGACAGCAGATGCAAAATTGTAAATTATGGATCTCATATTGTAATCTTTGACATTCTGTAGCGTTTTATAACCTCTTCTATCCTCTTCTCAGGTAGCTGGTTTCTCGACTTCTAAAATTTCATTTAAAAGCTTCTTTTTGTATATGTAATTGTGTAGATGACGCCTTGATCCATAGGCTGAATCAGAGAAGTTGTGTTTGCTGGCAAAAACATGCACGTGATCTTTTTATCATCACTAGTAAGCTGTTCAACTTGTGGATGTGCTGGACAATTGTCTAGTACAGTGGTTCCCAAGCTCTTCTATTCTACGCCCCCTTTATATATTTTCAAAAATCTCGCGCCCCCCCCCTCTTTTTAAATTGAAAACAAATTGATCATATTTTTTTGTGTTCTTTAAAAATAAACTTTAAATTATTCGGAATGACTACTTTTTTATTGATGTTAATAATAATAATAATAATGGTAAATAAAAAAATACATAATGAAATTAGATGTTAATAATAATAATAATAATGGTAAATAAAAAAATACATAATGAAATTAATAAATAATGTTAATGCTGACAACACTTTTCCTTGGACAGTTTTTTTATGTTCGGCTCAATATTTGATAATGAACACTTTAAGTCAGATGCGACATCTAAACGATTTCTGTTTGTTTTTTATAACTGCCATGCTGGAGAACCCAGATTCACACAAATATGTAGATGAAAATTGTACAAGGACTTTTAAAGCTTCATTTGAAATTTCAGGATAAATAGGTTGGTATTTTACCCAAAATTCTTCCAAAGAGCTACCACTGTTAAAATCAATTTTCGCCCGTGAATCGTTCTTCAGCTCGATTGCCTGTTCTTGAATTATATCTGGCAATGTGTCTACGTTAGTACTGAATGGAGAACTTGTTAACATATATTGCCAACTTTTGTTCGAAAAAATTGGAAAATATCGAGTGAATTCATCAGTCAAACTGTCGAGATGTTTAATCACTATATCTTTCAATCCAGTAGGACAAAATGGTTCTTCTTCATCAGAGAGAAGTTCGTTCAGTCGACGGAAAGACGAAAAATTAGGAGTCTCTTTGTTTACACAGTTTCCACAGTTGTATCTTTTCTAGAAATGAGTTGATAGAATCGTTCGCGATTATGACGTTTATATTCCTCCCTAGTAATTTGAGATTTAGGTTATTAATAGTCTCAAAAAAATCTGCTAGATATGCGAAGTAGAATGTGAAATTTTCATCAGTAAAATTTTCCCGAAGATCGTCTTTTCCTAATTGTAAAAGCATTATTTCGACTTCAGACTTTAATTCGTACAAACGCTCAAGCATATTTCCTTTGGATAACCAACGAACCTCGGTATGGAATAATAAAACAGAATGTTGGGCTGATAGCTCAGAACAAAGAATCTTAAAAAGACGTGAATTAAGAGCACTACTTTTGATGGTATTAACAATTTTTATACATACTTCTAGTACATTTTTAATTTCAAATGGCAGCGTTTTTGCAGCTAAGGCTTGGCGGTGTATTACACAATGAGAACCAATTATTGATGGATTTTTATCTTTTGCAAGCTTCACAAAACCCGATCGTGATCCTAGCATAGCAGGGGCACCGTCTGTACATACACCTACAACATTTTTCCAAGAGAGGCCATTCTGATCAAAAAATATATCGATGGCAGACAAAACGTCACTGAATTTTGAGGTGGAACTTAAGGCCTGGGAAAACATAAGCTCTTCTGCAATAGTCTTTTCATTTATAAAACGGCAGTAAACTAATAGCTGACAACAATTGGCCACATCAGTTGATTCATCACACTGAATTGCAAAGAATACGGAATTTTTTAATTTATGAATCAACTGATTTTGTATGTCCAAAGCTAATTCATCAATGCGTCGTTTGATTGTATTGTCTGAAAGAGATATTTGAGAAACTTTCCTTTTACTTTCTTCACCAAGTACTATTTCAACGGCTTTAAGTATGCTAGGCTTAATTAATGTTTCACCCAATGTATGTGGTTTCTTTTGCTGAGCCACCATAAAGGCGATGTGATATGAAGATTCAATAATTTTTTCATTATTCTGTTGAAATTCTCCGGTTCTGTCAAGTTTCATTTTATTTAAAGAATTTTTTTTAGCAACAAAAAACTCTTTAGGTTTTTCTTTTAGCATCGGATGAGCTGTGGTTAAATGTCGTTCTAGTTGTCTTGGTCGGAGAGCATCGTTACTTAACACAACGTGACAAATAACACACTGTGGCATTTGGATACCATCCTTTTGAATGAACGTGAAACCAAACTTTATATAATCGTCGTTATACAATCTTATTTTCTGTGGAGCCATTATTTTTACGTATGTACACTCGCGACGACTACGTACTACGACACTACGTGCAGTATGCGACTGCAAAACGAAACTAAATCGAGTTTAAACTAATCTAATAGCATTTTCCCTAACATCCTTTTATCGTTCCGATTAATTTACAGCTGATAACGTAGCATAAAACTATTTATAGTCATTATCGGTTATCCATTATTGATACCCGAGAACGGATAAAGAGAACCAGTCTACTAATTTTATTTCTCTACGTTTTAAATAAAAAAAATGTAATCAATAAAAATTGTCTTTCGTAAAAACTGCTTGCGCCTCCCCAGCAATGTGTACACGCCCCCCAAGGGGGGCGCGCCCCCCAGTTTGGGAACCAGTGGTCTAGTAGAACTAAGGCCTTCGCTTTGTCATCAGGAATTTTCAAAATTTCTGTTTGATATTTTCTAATTTCTGGCACTGCTTTTTTGTGAACCAATCTATTGTAATGTCTGAAGTGAACCACGCACTTTTCGAGTTGTAATAGTGAACTGGTAAAGAGTCCATAATATTTTTTATTCCACGTGGTTGTTTACTTTTACCAACAATCGCAGGCTTTAACATATGACTTCCATCAGCATTAGCGCAGAGCAATAATAAATAAGAAATAACCTGCATCTATAGGATATATGTAGAACTCGTTTTCTTGTTTATTTTAATCTACGACATAATCTAGCGTAATTTACGTATTATAAATGGCTGTCCGGACTAATGAGGTCCGGATTAATGAGATTCTACTGTATTATTATTATTATTATTATTATTATTATTATGCATTCTATGCGCCGTCGGTAAATAAATCAAAGCGTTCTTCATCAATTTGATTTTAACGAAGGTTAGGATTACGCGCGACATTGCCTTAGCTGTAGTTTCTTCTTTAATCACTGCTCGAAGGTAGTCGAACTGCTCATGCTACCTTCAAACTACCACTCAATCGAAAAACTTCAGACGTCCCGTTTGTAATATATTAAAGAAAAGTAATTTTGTGGAAGTATTAATAAATTCAAAAAATAATAGTGTTATAATAATTATAACCATCTCAGAAAATATGTGCACAATTGTAACTACAGTTCTTGATTTAACATCAAAAATGTATCCAGATATTACTAATATTCATGATAACCCTATGGTGGTGTGAACTTGCGCATACTTACCCCAAAAAATGAAAAAACGGCGGCTATCACTGAAACACTACTGTCTTTTGTGGGAGAAGAAAAAGATCGACAAAATGGTCAACATAGACAATGCAATTATTCTGTTGAATTTTTAAATTCGTTGAACCCCCGGGTATGTCTTATCATAAGATTATTCTGCGGGTGGGTATACCTATTATATTGTTGCGAAATTTGAAACAACCTAAACTGTGTAACGGGACCAGGCTTAAAGTCAAAGCCTTACATCGCAGTTTAGTGGAAGCCACATTTTTAACTGGATGTGCGAAAGGGCAAATTGCATTTGTACTACGAATTCCCTTAATTCTAAACGATCTTCCGTTCGAATTTAAACGATTACAGTTTCCCCTCAGAGTCTGCTTTGCAATGACTATAGACAATTCTCAAGGCCAGACTCTCAAATTTGAGGGAATAAACTTGCAAGAAAACTGTTTGAAACGAAGCCTCTTACTTACGCGTAAGTTTAACCAGCAGTTTGGTCATTTTGACTCCTTCTAATAAATCAGCTAAGAATATTGTCTACAAAGAAGTTTTGTAGATAATATTTTAAATAATTATTAGTAAGAATTCAATGCTAAAACTTATTGCAAACGAAGCTACGGTCAAGAGCTATAACTAATAGAATAGGTTATGATAATAATAAAATTGTATTAATAACTAATATGTATAAAATATTTCTAAATTATTTCAACAATCTCAATTAAATTTTATTTAAGTAGAGATTAATGAGACTATTTTTAAATAAGAGTTACCATCTTTTTATGTAAAATGTTTCTAATAGTGTGGGTTTATCGAAAATAAAACATATACAACCGGACCTTTAAGATCGAATAGAGTAGAATTAAATAGTAGAGTAAAAAGTAAAAATATATAACTTACGAAAGGAGATCACAGATTTTCAAAAAAAGGGCCTATTTATGTAACTAACTACTGGATATCAATGATGACCACTGACCATACAAATCAAAAGCCAAAACAAATAACTGAGTACAACTCAAGTATGTTTGGTATAGATCGCTGTGATCAAATGCTATTATATTATTCAAGTCCGAGAATAACCATCAAGTGGTACAAGAAAGAAATGTGTCATCTTCTTGACATGCCTTTGTGGAACTCATTCTACATTTATAAAAATAAATGTCCTCAGTACAAAGGGCATTGTATTGATTATCATCGTGAAAGCGTCAGAAGGCTTATTATTCACTTACAAACCGACATTACAAACGATTAAATACGACAAAAGATAAAGTAGCATTAATTTAAACATTCCTAGATAGTCTCAAGAGAAGATTCTATAACTTGAAGGTAGTATGAGTATTTTAAATTTTGTAATAATTAACCATGTATTTTATTTTGCTTAATTGTATTATAGTGTAGTCGAGACAAACATACTTTTCGAGTTGTTAGGAATGTTACACAAAAAAAAAAAATAAGAAAAAATACTTCTTGGAGGTACAAAGATTGTCTTTCAAACCCTCCTTTATGTCCAAGGCTATGCTTTGATGCTTTGCAAATCACCATTTATAAGTCATATACCTAATAATTGTTATTTTATAAATAATAACTTATTTGATTTAATTTTAATTTTCATAAAAAAAAAGGATTGCCTTAAATTGTTTAGTTATTTATACTAATTAGTAATTACAATACAGAAATATAAATTTTATTTACGCAACTGCTATAGAAGTATAGACCCTATGAGTAGAAAAAAGTCACTCATGGGCTAAAACTGCTATAGGAGTTGAATTTTTTTCTATTTTTATTGTTTTTGTTCCTTTATAATCAAAAGAAAAGCTCTGACTAATTGTTTATATTAAACAATTGTTAATAAGATATAAAACTGTTGTCCGTCAACATGTTACACAACAAGACAATAAGCAAGAGCTAAAGAAGTAGAATATAGTATAGAAAGAGAAAATCCTAGATATAAGGATGATCACTTAAATAATAGAAATAATAATTATTTTTCATTTAACAATTGTTATAATTTTTGATACTAATTATAATAAAATAAATTTCCAACAGTTTTGAGTGAACAAATAATTATTCATCACCAAATAATATTATTAGACCAACAATAAATTCTGTAATAGAAATAATTAGGATGCTCAGTGTAGAAGTAATAAGACATAGTTATGTGATCTAAATTTTAAACAACAAATAAAAAAAGGGATTTCGCCATTTGCTTCGAATTAAGGACACTGCTTGTATAATATACATCTATTGCTACGGTACGAAAAAGGTTTACATAAAAGGTATACATTAATTCAAATATATTTTTCTTTATAACTCATTAGTATCTGGGTTAATTACACTTAGAAATAGTTCACATGGAGAGCATTAAACGCGCGTTAGAGGGTAACACAAGTACCTTGTCTAAGGTTAAAAATGTTAGAATATACTATAACATTTTATAGTTTTGCATTGATGTGTTCAGTTGCAATAAGCGTTTTGAAAAGATAGGGTTTCTTCAAAATGTTTAGCTGTTTTTTTCGAAAAGTTTTCAAAAATGGATAATGAAGAATTTGATACTGATTTATTCTGTAAATTCGATGAAATTGAAAAGACCATTATATTGATTTTGGGATATGACAAGACTATATTAAAATAAAATAAGTAAAAGAAAGACTTGTAAAGAAATTGCTCTCATTTTTGGGTGTAAAAGTAACACCGAAGAAAGAAAAGAGTGTCATGGTAAGTATTTTAACTATTTTATATTTTATAGTTGAACAAAAAAAATTAAATACATATTTATTATAGTTATTAGTTATTAAAAATGATTTATATATACATTTATATCATGCGGTTTTGCCATTTTACATTTTCTTCATTAGTGAAATAATCCATACATTTGGGTCGAATATTATCTGCTACGCGTATTGCGCGTCCAGGTGTAGGTTCCAGTTAAATTTGACAGGGGTGCTGTGTATCTTCATACTGTAGTCATCTCATGTTCTTACATAATTGTGAAGTACGCAAATTACTTTCACAATGTATTCTGCAAAATCGATGTCCACATCTAGTGGCCGATGTAATATACACCATTTATTACACATTATACCAAAAGTACAATGTACTGAAGTACATACATTGTGCTTAAGTTAAGCGATAGTTAAACATTTTTTTTCGTACGATAATAACTTTCAACCGTATGGGTCTCATTAATTTCTCCAGCACACCAAAAGCTTCATCAGCTACTATGAGTTATGGCAATGAGGTTTCATCTAAATTATTAATAGGGCTTGGGTCAGGAATATTCAACGTTTTTTNTGTGGCATTTGGATACCATCCTTTTGAATGAACGTGAAACCAAACTTTATATAATCGTCGTTATACAATCTTATTTTCTGTGGAGCCATTATTTTTTGTTAATAAGATATAAAACTGTTGTCCGTCAACATGTTACACAACAAGACAATAAGCAAGAGCTAAAGAAGTAGAATATAGTATAGAAAGAGAAAATCCTAGATATAAGGATGATCACTTAAATAATAGAAATAATAATTATTTTTCATTTAACAATTGTTATAATTTTTGATACTAATTATAATAAAATAAATTTCCAACAGTTTTGAGTGAACAAATAATTATTCATCACCAAATAATATTATTAGACCAACAATAAATTCTGTAATAGAAATAATTAGGATGCTCAGTGTAGAAGTAATAAGACATAGTTATGTGATCTAAATTTTAAACAACAAATAAAAAAAGGGCTTTCGCCATTTGCTTCGAATTAAGGACACTGCTTGTATAATATACATCTATTGCTACGGTACGAAAAAGGTTTACATAAAAGGTATACAT